CCAGGATCCCCACGCCCTGGCCCCTCTTCCGCAGCACCTTGAAGGCGTCCTCGTCGGTGCGGTCGTCGCCGATGTACACCGGCAGGACGTCGCTGCAGCTGGCGAATCCTGGAGAGACGGGGTAGAGTGTCCGTCAGCGCACGGTTTTTTTTTTTTCATTTCCTTAACGACAGTGGTGTGAAACGCAGGTGAATAGAGAAAAACCGGGGCCGAAAACGACTGTCGCGACACTGACACGAACGGAAGATATATAAGTAGTATGTGGAGGAGTCGTCGTTGCGTGCGTACCTAGCGATTCGAGCAAGAACTCCAGCGCCTTGCCCTTGTCCCACATAATGCTGGGCCGGAGCTCGAAGACCTATAAACAAATGGAGGTTCCAATCTTGATCAAGATCCTCACGAGGGAAAGGTCAACTAATGCTGTGGTTCGTCGCCGAGTTCATCGGCAACAAGGCATTGAATAATAACCCACCTTCCTCCCTTGGGTGAGCTTCAGCATGGGGTAGTCCTTGATCACGGCCTTGACCTGCTCAGCCAAGAAGTTCCATCTCTGCATGCACGGAGGAGAGTGGTTAGCTCAGACGAGACGACATAACAAAACTAACCGCACATGATGCGGCATGCCTGTTAATTTAAGTGGCGAAGTGGTTGGGTCTCCCAAGGTGGAGTAAGGCTCGCCTACCTTTTCATCCACACATCTGAAGTGGACGGACAGGCAGAACTTGTTGTTCTCCACCTTGGCTCCAGGTGTGGACTTCGTCTTTTCCACAAGCACCTTGTACACCTGACAAAAATGTGATTCACCATCATTAGCTAGCCTCCTCGTGCACCAGCTACTTAAACACCACCGGCTAGGTAGATAAGCAGGAATGGGCAGGTGTTCTTCTCCTCATTTGTAAGGTAAATTGGTTCAAGTGGTTGCTGGTGTAATTAAGTACCTCGTCGATCATGGGGAGGAACTCGCTTGCGGGCTGGCACAGGACAGACTCGGGCTGCAGATTGGCATGAGGTGAGATTAGTCAGCGAGATTTCTTAATCAAAAGGGTTAATTAAGGATCGTCGTATAGAGTGGATGTTGTGGAGATGGAGAGGGGAATGGGCATACATTGGAGCCTGGTCCCTGGATGTCCATGCCGTGGCTGCCGGCGTAGTACAGCTCGGAGAGGCCGACGAAGTTGTGCACCTGCACCGCCGCGAGAGCAAAGCCAGAGTTTAATCATCGCGCGCACTCACGGGCTAGTCACTTGATATGGCAGAGAGAGAGAGAGAGAGAGAGAGAGAGAGAGAGAGAGAGAGAGAAGTGAAGTGGCGCGGGGAATGTACCTTGTCGCGGCACCGCCCGCTCACGATCGCCGTCGGGAAGTGCTTCGCAACGTCGCGCACCGCCTCCCTCATCTGCACAGATACGCCACCACGAGGCCGGGGAGACGACATCGATCAGCAAATATAGTCTTGGTTTTTGTTTTCAGGCTGGCCGGACGGCGGTGGAGAAGTTGAGTGTTGCAGGGCCGGGGAGTGACTCACCGCGTCGCTCATGTAGGCGGCGTCGGGGTTGGCGACGATGGGCGAGAGGGTGCCGTCGTAGTCGAGGAACATGACGATCTTCTTCCCCTTGGACGCGCTGGCGATTTGCTCGAACTTGCCTAGCGCCGACGGGTGCTTCCTCTGCTCAGAGCACAAGAGAAGCCAAAGAAAGGTTAGAGTCACCACCGGCCTGGAGGCAACAATCATGCACCGTGAAAAAACGACGCCCGCCGTGGAGGCAGGAGGGATGAGCGGGACTGACCATCCAGGCCGTGAGCTCGTCGACGTCGGCGCCGGGGCGGGAGCGGGTGGGCGAGGCGGCGCGCATGGCCTCGAGCTCGGCCCATGTGCAGTTCGCGGAGCGCGCGGCGGCGGCGGCGAGGTCGCGGTACGTCTGCCGCATGGACATGGCCCCGGCGCTGGCGGCGCTGCGGCACGCGAAGAGGCCCGCGGCGCCGGAGCCCGGCATGGCCGCCCCGCCCGCCCCAATGCCCATCTCCGAAACAACCACGTCCTGGCTCGTCGTCATGTCACTCGGCGCGCGGCGCACGGCCGAACAAAGCAAGCCCGGCCGGAGAACCAGCTGAGAGCTCGTGCAACGTACGCGAAGCCCGCAACCTCCCGGTCGCGTTCCAACGCCGAGCTCCGGCGAGACGGCGCACAGGCACAGGCAGCTGGCCCTCAGGGAGTGCGCGCGCGCGTGCGTTCGTGCGCGGTGTGCGTGTGTGTGTGGTAGCTTCTCAGAGCTTAAGGTGGGTGGAACCGGAGTGGGATAAGCGCGGGTACTTATAGCTCGAGCGGCGGGCGCGGTAGGGGCACGTGGGGCCTGCCCGTGGGATCCCATGCGGAGCCTACGTGTGGCGCCGCCCGCCCGACGATCGTTCTCTTCTCCATGCCTGTGCGCCGAGTCCACGGCGGTTTTCGTGCTTTGCTCACATGCGCAGCCGAGGCCTGTGTCGCCCGTCGTTGGGCCGAAAGAGGCGACGGGAGTCTTTTTGGCACCAAATTTGTGAAGCGTACGTGTACGCAAAGCGAAGGGAGAATCCTTTGGACTAGCATGTTGTATCATCGACACGCAGTTTAGGCCGATTTTTGGAAAGCAGAAGGCGTCCATGATTGATGCAGTGAAGGTAGGTGGAATTTCGACACGCGTCACAGTAAAAAGAAGGGATATAAAGGTTGGGAAATCGTAATCTGATTACGGGGTCCGGGCCCGCTGTAACCGATCACGGGACAGAATAGTCCACGGCTACAAGTTTTAAAAAAGCTTAATTGTTTTTACACATGCAGGGCTAATTAAGTTTCTACCTAAATGAAGGTCATGCTATGATGGCAGCTTCAATCTTCGAAGAGAGTAGAATTCTACTCAGGGACATAGGAAAAGTGACTATTGAGCATTGCAATCGGAAATCAAATTGTGTTGCTCATGAGCTAGCTAGCTGGGGTGGTGCAAACACTCCATCCTTGTGGGTGGATGCATCGCCTGATTTTATTGTAAAGTTTTTAGCGGACGATGTAAATTTGATTGATCAATAAAGCTAGCCGTCAAGGCCTTCCCGTCAAAAGAAAAGTTTCTACCTAAATGGTTTGTTAGGGCATGTCGCAAAAACTAACTTGTGTTTTTTTTTACGTTAAATCTCAGTCGACTAAGATTTGGTTAGGTCTCAGTCGGCGCTGTACTCGTGAGACCTTACATTAGGATCCATACAAAAAAAATCAGTTGTTCTTTTTTCTTTCATACAACTGACTTGGCTTTTGGATCTCACAAAAAGAATGCATGCTTCCATCAATCGATATAGAGGACGGTCACTCCCAACTTTTTTTTGCCGAGACTGGATGCTGATTTTGTGATCCCAAGCTCCCTTGTAAAACAAAACATGTTGTAAAGTCCAAAGGTTATGAAAATATATATTTGTTTGTGTATACATTGTATACAATGCAATTTTATAATTTTAAGCCAAGAACATATGCACTCGAGCACAGCTAGGAGTTACCGAGAACTATAGTGATGAACTACAGAGCATATAATCTTGTAGTGAGCAAGATAGAGTGCTTTGCGACCACTACTGTGGGTGATGCTGAAAAGCTAAAATTTGTGACCGAATGGATCAAGCCCAAAGATATTGCCCCGAAATATTTTGAGATTTAATCAAAGAAAAACATGATTAAAATTTTGTGGAAAGAAAATACTCTGCATATTAGCTTTCTACTAAGTCAAACTTTTTAACCAAATTTATGAACCTTTACAATAATGAATATGTATGATGTGAAAATATATTCAATGGTGAATCTACTGGTATTGATTTGGTAATATAGATGTTTATAATACATAATTTTTCTATAAATTTGATCAACAGTTATAAAGTTTAACTTAAGAAAAAACTAACATGTCAAGTAATTAAAAACAGAGGAAGTGCGTGGATATAAACATGCTAGGATGGAGCAAGGGGTCACCTTAGAGCACATTCAAGAATTTGATATCCTTCTGAAAAGGCTTATCCATGTAATTAGATGGAAATTCATGGATGATAGTGCCTAGTCCACAGTCTTGGCCTACAAGGTACAATTTTCACTAGCCACGACCACCATGATGAATGCTACTGTTTTGAAAGTATGGACATTGTCGAAATGTAAATTCTTTGAATGTTTGAACAAAATCTAAAAAAACAATTAGCACATTGAGACAACAAGAATCAACGTTGTCACAAAAATTCAAATCAAAATTTGAAATACAGCTCAAGATACATAAATGTGACACATGTTACTAAAAGAGATAACGAGTGAAATCTAAAGCACAACTTATGTTTCGTACTATCCAGCTTCAAATTTGTCATTTTTGTATCATGACCAATGTTCAAAATTTGATTGAAATTTTGTGGCAATATTGATTGATGTTGTGTGAATGTGTTGACTTTTTCAGAAAATTTTCAACATTAAAAAATGTGCTACGAGAGTTTGGTCCACAATCAAGAATACCAAATATCGCCTCCGCCCCCGAAAGCAAGTTCTGAAAACGGAGGTGTGTGTACTCTTCAAAAGCCCCCTATTCCATAGGAATACAGACCGCACAAAAATCAATAGCTCAATACACTAGGTGTCAATTTAATGGTTGGGATATCTATGACTCAATCGAAACTTGGTGGACTGTCATTACCAAACAATAATCAATTAGAAAGCCCGTTTGCTTCCCTTGTAAAGGGTATTTTGACACATCGCAACCTCCCTACAATAATTGTCAACACAATTAAGGAAGAGGCGACACTTTGGGGGTTGGCAGATGCAAAAAATACTCGTGTTACTTAATACGGGAGAGTAGGATTCAGTTTGAGACATTAGCCATTGCCTTGGCAAGCATATTGAAACTTATCAAAACATTTTAATCAACAAAAATGTCAAGTTTTCTCCATTGTTCCGAAACAATAAGGTGAAGACTACTTGAAGTAAGTGGCATAATTTCCAAAATGCAGAGAGCAGTAGCTCTCTTGTTTCACCAAACTTTTCTTAGGAAAATGTTGCTAGTTATCACTAAAATGCCATCCCAAGTGTAAGTTGCCATCTACTTCTAAAGGCTATTACTAAATAATTTTGTGTTACACTGCATGTTTTGTTTAAGCACCATAAAGTGACTTCTGGATACACATTGGGCGTTTTTGGTTAACCCCCATATGAGTTAGCCTAGTGTACATCATGCCTTCATGACACATCTCCAAATTCCCTCTTGTCTTTCACCTTGTCCATTGTTCAAATTAAATGTTGAGAGAACATGGGCTGCACTTCAACTTCATCATTTTTTTATTTTCTTTTTCAAATTGAACATGTTCACCTATAATTTTCATTTTCATTTTGAGAACATATCCAAACATGCCACTATAATTTAAATTTAAATTAGCTACGCTCGGTCTTAGCCTTGACAGACCTTCAATTTGGCACCATATCAATTTGTACTAGAGGCTAATGCATGCTTCGCCGCACCGTTCTTCACCCATGTGGTTTTTTTTTCTCTGGTAGGTTATTGTGGTCGATTGTTCCATTTTTATTTTATCTAGGTTGGCTTGGATTTTAAATATGTTCCTGTGTTTTTTTTCATTTGTATATCTTGTTGGGCTGCTGCTGGAGATGATATTTGTTTTTACGGGAGAGCGAAGCTTTTAGATGTGTGGTTGTGGTTTCAATGCATTTTTCGACCTCAGTGCCACCCCGTGGTAGTTGTGTGAGCCCCTGGGGAGGTCTTATTTCATGTCGGAACCATGTAATTACTACTCTAACGACAACCTGGACCACCAATGAAGCTCTCACTCGCTTAGTTTTTTTTCGCTCGTTTCATTGCTAGATCGGGAAAATACCGGCTATCGTATTTTTTCCTATTTGAAGAAGTTCACGTATTTTCAAAAAACATTAATTTTTTAAAAAATTGCAAATTAAAAATATGATTTTTATCATTATTTGTTTGCAAATTTAAATATACCTTTGGATTTCAAACAATGTTAATGGATGTGAAAAAGGATCACATATTTAAAATGTTCATAAAATTGAAGCATATTCATCAATTTTAAAAAATTATGAATTAAAAAATGTACGCGAATTCTAAAAAAGATCCGTAGTTTAAAAAATGTTTTGAACTTGTAATAAATATTAATGAATTAAAATGTGAGAAAGGAAAAAGAAAAACAAACAAGAAAAGGAAAAAATTGAAAAAACAACAACAACTAGAACTGGTAAAAACGCAGAAAAAGGCAATACCTTCTCAAAACCCAAATAAATTGACCACCCCGGCGAGATATACTCTTACAGGGTCGGGCCCATAGCATTCCCCGCAACCCACAATGCACCATAAGACTCCAAATCGACTGAGTTTAGTGTTTATATTTTATGATATACTTGTTAGGGCATGTACAATGGTTGATAAGATAGTCTTATCTTAAGTCTTGTATGTAATTTAGAGATGAAAAAAAAAGACCTCCACAATGGGTCATGTCTTAGCCTTATCATCAATAACTAGCTATTCCTAAAACCATGGTGAGACATATTGTGCTAAGAGATCATCTCTTGTCTTCTCTTAAATAAGAGAAGACAAACCTTTTCTTATGAGCTCTTTCTCCTTCACCTCATCATTTAGCCTACGTGGCACTCCTAAGATAGCACCATTGTACATGCCCTTATAGCTCTCGAGCCTACGAAAATCAAGAGGCCGAGAGGAAAACTCACGTGCATATGTAGAGTTATAAATAATATTCCTACTCTTGCCTCTAGGATTAGCTCAAGTGTTGTATGATGATTTGTTTTTCTGATCAAGGGCATAGTTAAGTGTAAAGATGATGCCGACAACATTGAGGTCATGATGTTAGAAGAACACTCGTGTTGAATTGACCCAAGTTTGTATGTTGTACTAAGAGATGATTTCGTCACAAGTTTGTAGTCCATAAAACGAGAAGTTAATGTATGCAAAATTCCTTAGACCATGAGAGTATAGGGTCACTTCATACTAGACGATGTACTTTGGGGCTGTTCTAACCTCAACCGTAATACAGT